AAAATGTTTAAGACTGATCAAAAGAGTCAATAACAGGATATCGTGTAGAGAATTTTTTGGTGAATTTAAAATTTTAACCTTAACTTCATTGTATATCTTTGAGACGTTGTGTTTTTTAAGGAAAAATAGGATATATAACATCTCGTATTCAGATGTGCACGGTTATAACACAGTACATAAGCAGAATTTGTATGTCCAACCATATAACACCTCACGTTGTAAAATGAGTGTGATTAACATGGGAATAAGATTGTATAATAACTTGCCCTCTCAAATAAGAAGTATTCAAGAGTTCAAGGTTTTTAAGCGTCAATTAAAGGATTACTTGTTGTGCAAAGCTTTTTATTCCCTTCAAGAATATTTTTACAAGAATTAGCTTAATAATAGAACAAAGATACTTAGGTAATTTATTTTAGATATTGCATGTAATTTATAGTTTAGCTTTTGTTGCCTTATTATACTCATCCACTGTTTTATCATATTTAAAGGATTTATTATGTTATTTTTCTATGGTTTTTTATATTATTAGTCATTTGATGTGATGTTTAATCTCATATATTTTTTTATAAAACTGACTTGTCCAATTGTACATAATGTAACAGTTATGGATGTTAAATCAATCAATCAATCAATGTGATTGGTGATTGACATGGTCATATGTAGGACTTCTGATTTGCTGTAATACTTTTAAAATTCTTTTGTTAAACTCATAAGGTTAACAAAACCAATATGATAGGCATTCTTTTTTAAATCAACTTGCATTTTGATTTATGTATCGTAACTAGTTTGATTATTTATCTGGTTTTGATAGTTTGTTATATTTTAACTGTAGGTTTAACCATGACAAGAGTAATTATTTATTTTTGACAAATTCTAATCCTTTAGGCAATTGGGCAAAAGGATTTCAAGAATGATGTGACTTGTTCTAGTGTAACTGTTGTAGCAATTATGAATGCTAAATAAAATAAATGCACGAATAAGTAACTAGTTAAAGTATATTCTCATAACCATACCTGAAGGCAAATTCATCATTCTGTCGCAAGTGATGAGGGGCATCTAATGGATTTAGGAGGCCTGCGTATTGCAGATCTTTATGAATAGGAAAGAAACTTTTCCGTAAGTACTGTGGGCATTCAAGATATTGCAATATTCTTGCCAACTGAATACAACATCGTCTCACAATCTTCCCTTCATTATCACTATTTTCTTGTATGGAATTATCAGCAATGTTCTTACTGCCCAAATCATCAAATACCACAACCTAGAATAAACAATCAGATATTATTATTATTATTTAATTACATTCCATTAATCCATACAAGGTCAAAGACCTATAGGATATAGAAACTGTCATTATAAATATAAAACAATAAGTATAACAGTAAATCTATTATACATGTCATAAAGCTTCGAGTAGCCATCTGAAACAATATAACATAGAATTAATACAAATACAGTAATAAAAGTAAATTACAACTATTAACTAAATAATCTATAGGTATTCATTGGGAAGTTGTTTTGTAAAATTCATCAATGCTATAAAATTCATGTTCAGTGAGATGGCTTCTCAATAAAGATTTGAATTGCTTAACGTCTTTAGATAACAATTTAATATTCGAAGGTAAGTGATTATAAATCTTGCTTCCAGAGAACAGCACTCCTTTTTGTACTACTGATAAATTTGTAGAGGGTAAGTATAAATTATAATTATAGCAGGTATTAATATCATCAATATGCATGTTAGATGTAAAGTAATTTTTATTCTTAATAACGAAAAGAAGCAAGGAAAAAATATATTGAGGCTGGAGTAGAATAATTGTAATTTTTTGAACAAATCCCAACATGAATCAAATTTGCCCTAACCAGACATAACTCTTATGATTCTTTTTTGAATTTTAAAGACACTCATACTAAGGGGGCATTAAGCGGCCTCCGTAGTCTAGAGGTAACGTTCCCACCTCATGACTCATAGTACGCAGGTTCAAATACCCGGCAGAGGTCGTCGAATTTTTAAGGGTGGAAAAATTCAGGGAACAAGTCCTCTGGGAGGGACTTTAAGCCGTGGGTCCCGTGTCATAGCTTTCCGGCACGTAAAAGAACCTCATACCTCCAAAGGAGGTCACTGAGCCAAGATTGCGGATGTTTCCTGCCCAACAGCAGTCACTAATACCTCTGGTAGATGGGGGAAGCATTATAGATATCTCTCAGCTAGTAGAGCCAGTCTCACTGGCTGGGCGGGACTGATGGTAAGCACCAATACCTGTAGGGTATAGAGACTGGTAGAAATCATAGAGGGAAGCACAATGGACCACTACAGGTCTAAGTGCATGGGGAAAACCACCCTCTCCAATAACTAACTAACTAACTAAGGGGGCATTACCCCAAAAGATAATGCCATACTTGGGTATCGAATGTACATAAGAGTAGTAAATCATCTTTATTTAATCTAACAATACAAAGGGCTTTATTGCAAAACAGGCCTTATTTAATCTTGATAACACAGTAATATGATTCTTCCAAGACAGGGTGCTATCAATATATATTCCCAAAAATTTAGAGCAATTGATGTTAGTAATTAAGAAATTGTCTGATGTAATTTGAATTTCTATTTTGCTATGCTTCTGTAAAAGAACTGTAAGAAATGTGTTTTATCACAATTTAGAGTTAAAAACTTCCTGTTAAACCACATCATTGTTTCATTAATAACTGAAATAAACCACCCAACATAATTTTTCTTTGTCTAGGGAAGTCAATATATTATTTAGAAGATTATATGTTGCCATTTCAGTGGATTATTCTTTTCTAAATCCGAATTGTTCCTTAACCAAGATATTGTTCATATTTAAATGGGAGTACAGTCTTTCATAAATAATTTTTCCAATGATTTTAGAAAAAGTTGGAAGATAAAAATTCTTTGTTATTAGCAGAGGGATACCCAGAGGAATTATTATTATTAAATAATTTATCGGCTATGGATGAAAAGTAATTATTAAATGCATCTACATGTACAATACCTATCATGTTGCAAGATAATTTATCATTTATTTTCATTTTGGTTATATTATCAGTAGGTCCTCCTATTATTAGTAATAGTTTTCACAATATTCCATGTAGTTTCAATCTTGTTGTTAGATTTTACTATAAGTGTGTTATAATGTAATTTTTTTGGCTGCCATAATAACCCTGGTCAAGATTCTGCAATATTTCTTAAAATATTCTTTGACATTAGGATCATTGCTATTTCTGGAAACTAGATACAGTATTCTTTTATTTGCACATTCATTCATTCATTCATTCATTCATTCATTCATTGTATATTCCATAAATCCATATACATAGATATAGAACCAGTCACATAGTTAATATAGTACAATACAATTATAAATATATATGTACAGCTTATAGTCATTATAATAGATTAAAAAAAAATGTGTTAAATTTACAGTCTTACATCACTATACATAAAATTATGCAATATTAAAATTGTTTATGTTATTATCCTTATTTCTAGGCAAATTTGTTACTAAAGAATTCATCACATGTATAAAAAGAGTTTTGCAATAAAAATGTTGTCAACTGAATTTTAAAATTTTTTAAGTCATTAGACATAGATTTGATTTTTGGTGGCAAATGATTAAAGATCTTTACCCCCATGTAACATATTCCTTTTTGGAATTGTGTCAGACTAGTTTGCGGATAATGCAGATCACAGATAGATCTGGTACTACAATTATGCATTTGTGAGTTGAATGTGAACAATTCCTTATTTACTATGACAAACAGAGATCGACAATATATATTGAGTTTGTAGGGGGAGGATATCCAATCCTTGAAACAAACTACAACACGATGTTCTCTTTGTTGTATTTGTTATAATCCTAATTATCCTTTTCTGCATCCTAAACACTTTTATACTATGCGGGGAGTTACCCCAGAATATTAATCCATACGTTATTATAGAATGTACATAGGAAAAATACATCATTTTTAATGTCTCCAGTGGTAAAAAGGATTTAACTGATCGGATTGCAAAACAGGATCTGTTTAACTTATCAATTACTGCATCAATATGACTTTCCCACGTTAAAAAATTTTCAATTTTTAATCCCAGAAACGATATATTAGAAATACTTGGAATTTGATTGTTTAAATAACTAACTTGAACATTTAAGTTTTTACTGTTTTTAGTTCTAAACTGTAGAAAATAAGTTTTTTCATAATTTATTACTAGCTCATTTTTCCTAAACCATTCATTTATCATCTCAAATAATTTATGTATTCTAATTTTAAATGTTGCAGGATTCTTATCAAAGATAAGGATACTTGTATCATCTGCAAATAATATTGGTTTGGATAGGTCAGATATAATTTTTGGTAAGTCATTTACATATAGTAAAAAGAGCACTGGGCCTAATACAGAGCCCTGAAGCACTCCACACTGTATTTCTTTCCATTCAGAACAACATTTACTCCCATTTTCATACAAAATTACTCTCTGGTATCTTCCTCTCAAATAGGATCTCATAAGTTTCTGAGCAGCTCCTTCAATTCCATAAAATTCCATTTTTCATAGCAATATATCATGATTTACTCGGTCAAAAACCTTACTCAGATCACAAAAAATTCCACCCGCTATATTTGTTGTGTTAAGCCCTATAAATATTCTCCATTAGATTATAAGTAGCTAATGTAGTTGAAGAGTTTTTTCTAAAGCCGAATTGCTCCTGCGTTAGCAGGTTATGTGTATTTAAGTGTAAAAACATTCTTTTATATATAACTTTTTCAAAAATTTTAGAAAAGATTGGGAGTAAAGATATAGGTCTATAATTAGACATGCCCGTTTTATCCCCTTTTTTATGTATAGGTATTATTTCAGAATATTTTAAACGAGCAGGGAATATTCCTGTAGACGACTTATTAAATATGTAAGTTAATGGTGATGATATATATGGTGCACTTGCTTTCATTAATTTGGTAGTAATTCCATCGTATCCACATGAAATTTTAATACCAGAAGTTGGCCATGATTTTTGCGCATGTGGATACTGACATTTTTTCGATGATATGATAATGATTCTGCACTTGTTATCTTGCACTGTGTGTGGTCATGTTATAAATATAACAACTTAGAGCAGATATGTAAGTAGTATTGTAATTAAAAAGTATAATGGACCCTGTTTCGAACACACTCATGGGACTTCTAATTAGCATAACATTTCAAACTCTGCTTTAAATCATAGAACTGTGCCAGGAAAAATTAAAGGATGGCTGGACTACAACACCACCATTCAAACACGGGACAAATTCGTTTCTAATGCAACAACATTTTGATGAAGCCTTGATCTAACAAAGTACAGGCCTGGCGCAGAAATGCAGAATCAGACATTATTGATGACACCAAGAAGCATAAAGGTTGACCTACAGCGACATTCACACATTTAATGAAACAATGAGCAAAAAGGAAAAATCATTACAGACAGACCAATACAATACCCCAAGCTTGTCTTTCTAAAATCAACCACTTTCAAAATGTAATGTCACTCCAATCGTTTTATCATTTGCGGAAAGACAGGAAGTAATATGCTGGGGAGTTTTCGTGACCATGGTGGAAAGATTTCACTAAGAGCGGGCATCATGGATAAAGTATCGCAACAGAAAGGTGGACTGGCCAACACGAAAATGAAACTGCTGAAATTTCAAGCGATCGGCCGTGTTGATGATGAATTAAAAATCTTACGAAAATATACATATGCATTCACATGTAAAAGACAAGGAAGGTTACTTACACCAGAAAACACAAAACATACACAAATACTTCCAGTCTGAAATAAATGTACTATAGCTTTAACCTTACTTCATCAATTTTAAAAATGCAGGCTGCTCGTGCAATCTGCCCAGCAAGGTACGTACGGAGTTCTGGAGACTGGGCATTATCAAGAATGGACCCTGGCACTGCTATACTTAATGTGCAAATTTGGGGGGTTTTATTTCCAAGTTCCTTATTACTACATTTTCTATTCACGTTCCGAACATCGATAACTTTTAGCAACTTCTCTTCTTTCCGCTTCTTTCTCTCGCTTTTCTGCCGTTTCAGTTCGCTAAATGAGTGGCTTTTATTTTTCAGGTTCACTTTATGAGGCTCCATTGACAACTTTATTTTTCACCCTTGCACACAATGCTGTAGTATTTTAAAATTTCGCCAACCTAAGAATCAAAATCGGCACAGGCCCCTATTACTATCACAAGCCGGCCAAAACCGACAACCCCCGTTCACCCTACCCTAAAAAGCTACAAAGCCTACAAACCCTACAAATACCGCCTAACCACGTAACCACCATCAATCCCAGATCCCCAGATTAATACTAGTTTCCTTCAGCACAGGCAAGGAGGGACGGAGGGATAGGTGCCATTTATTAGTAAATGCATAACTATTTCCTCCGAATTCGATTAAGCTTGCCTATACGTACGTTTGTACCATTTGCTTTTGTTTTGCTTTTTTTTTATTATGACAGTTTCCACATCCTTATACTTTCTGTGGATCCGTGGAAATAAAGGTATATGCATATGCGTATGAGTACGGCTTAACAGCATATAGATATCCGTGCCGTCCGTGCCGATCCGTGCTACTTACGTTCCAAGTTTTCACTTGTCGGTGTGCAAATTTTTACCTTCATTTATTTCTCTGACGTCAGTTGCCTAGTAACATATAAACAGTATGGAAGTTGTTAAGTCTGATTTCTATTTTTGATAGTTGTGTAAATAAGTGTTTAATGTAATGCGATACCTGTAAGGAAGATAGTATAATGTTTTTTTGTTTGAAAGTGATGCATATGTATTTTTGTAATCTAATGCGTATCGTGTAAAGTTAATGTATTTATATGTCGCCCCTGTAACTACTATCAAATGTACGTCGTAGTTTATTTAAGTCGATGTAATGAGTACGACGGTACACCTTGTTTTATTCATAATATAAACATAAATATAACATAATAAATTTTTGTGTGAACATATTAGTAATGCATTTGATTTTCTGCATATTCATAAGTTTGTACCAGATTTCTATTGGTTATTCATGCAAAAGAATTGGTATGAAACAGCGACACTGTTCTTCATTTCATTAAACAATGGATAGATATGGACTTCCAGCAGCAGAAAGCAAGTCCCCTGGTAAATGGGGAAACCGGCTTGCAGTAGTATGTGGCTGCATTGCTCCTGTGCTTTTCCCTCCTATACACATTGGTATTTTATATTATTTCTGGGATGACTTTTCTCGCCGTGTGAACAAACATTTCTGCTCATGTTCTTGCTGGGATACGGTTTTTAAAGGTAGGTTTATTGCTGAGTACTCATATTAATACAAACATTTAGTCTTTGTAATATAGTATTTGTTATGTAATATTACTGTTAATGACATTTTCTTTTTTAGGGACATATGAAACAGGTGTACCATCATATAAGCATCTGTACTTCAATGCTACAAGTAATACATTCAAAATATGGATTCTCACTGTTGTTAGTGTGATAGCCCTTTATGAATGTATACGTCATCTTACAGTTCTAATGCTCCAGCGGCAGTTAAGGTTCTCAATGCTAGTTCTGTTTCTGTCATCTGTTTTTGCTCATTATTATTCATGGTGGACATATGTTAATTACTGGAATGATGACTATTACTCACAGTGGAACCATCAGCTCTTTTTTACTGTCTCAGAACTCTGCTCAACAATTCTTGTTATACACCTGGCACGTTCAGACAACCCTGTCACAGTTCGCAAAGTCCTGGGAATAATAGGCATAGCACTGATTCATGTCCTGGCTGGAGGATGGGATCAGTTTATTGCAAATGTTCTTAGAGGTGAAGGATATTCACACCAGGTTAGTACATAATGGAATAATCTCATTTCTTCTACAGAACTATCTTGCAGGTAAGTATATAGTCAACTTCAGAGTCAGAAACTATGAGTAAGATGAACAAAAATTATAATTTCTTAGTTAAATCGCACATTACCTATCATGCCATGAACAACATGTGACAATGAAGAAAGCAGTCTTCTGGGATTTGGCACCGTGTATATGTGGTGTTAACCGACGTTTCAGAGGAACGTATCGNGACAAATTGAGACACTGGACAGAGACAGAGAACTTCACAGAATTTATGAAGGCAATTGGTACATTTAGGGAGGATTTGGTGGGGCTTATGACCTGTGTCGCTGATAACATTGTGCTAAGTGAAGTTAAATTAAGCTATATTAATTAGCCATGCTGGTCATGGTAGCTGAGTGGCCTAAGTCATGTACTGTCTTTGCTCACTCGGAACCCTGGATTGTGGGCTCAAATCCCACACAAGGCATGGATGTTTGGAATGTGTATATGTTTATTCTGTGTTTGTGTTGTGCTGTGTTTAGGTAGAGGCCTTGCAATGAGCTGAACACTTGTCCAAGGAGTCCTACTGTCTGTAAAATGATCATGAAACTGAAAATTCAGAGGCCAGGGCCCAAGGGGGCTGCAGAGCCAGTGAAAAAAAAAATCATACTTTTTCCCAGTCTAGTGATATATTTTCCATAAATTGGATTTACGTTCCTCTCAAGAATGAGAAGATGTGGGAAACTAGTGTATTGACCTTCGCTTACCCTATTGGTACAGGAAAAGGAAGTTGCGACTTTAAATTCATAAAGCTTGAAATATTTGCAGATCACAGTTGTAGATGATAATTTCTGCATATCAGAAGGGCTTGTTATTGTTTCAGCATATAGGGCATATATATATATATGCAGTAGTCTCTTGCCAACATCTGTTGTGTCAATTGCAGATTTTGAAAATTCTTCTTTTNAGAAAAAAAAATACAAGTTATAAGAAAATAAAACATATAAGAATATAAAATAATAAATAAGGCCTTTTGCAAAAAGTGCAAGTTGTCAATCCAATTATAACAAATTAGAAAGGAAAATATTAACTCTGTTGACAACATCAATCAACTAGAATTGATACAACTCAACTTTCCAATTCTTAGTTTAAATATTAGATGTTAAAACAATTGAGAACAGCCCTCTTGACTCAGAACAAAGACAGGACCAACAATATGTTTTGACTGACTATTTACTCTGCATTTATCTTTATGCTTCTTACATGGTCAACAAATTCCTCAATGGAGTAAAAGGAATTTCTTAATAAGTATCTTTTTAAAGCAATCCTAAATTGATCTTTATCCATTCTTAACACTGAGATACTCTCTGGTAACATGTTAAAGAATGTAGCACCTGAGTAATACACACCCCTCTGATACGACAACAAATGAGAAGCAGGCATGTGAAAAAGATTATTATTCCTGGTGCCAATCGTGTATATTGTATTATTTATCAAAAACTTATCACAGTTTTTAACAACAAAAGTCAGTAGTGATAACAAGTATACACATGGAATTGGCAATATTCCCAGCTTCTTAAACAGATCACAACATGGGTGAGTTGGTCCAACTCCCATCAGTATTCTTATTGTTTTCTTTTGCATATGAAAAACTTTAAGACAGTCAGGGGTATTACCCCAGTATATTATGCCATATTTCATTAAAGAATGATAATATGCATAATAAACGGATTTTAAGTTATTTTTGTTTAGAATATAAAAACATTTTCGCATTTGGAATCCAACCATACTCAATTTATGAAGTAACTGATTTACATGCACCTTACAAGTCAGATGATTATCAATTTGTAAACCCAGAAATGTTGTAGCTTCAGCTGTTTTGAGTATTGTGTTAAGAAGCATAGTTGTTAGCGGATAATCAGTATGTATTGTTGGTGTAAACTTTATAATTTTTGTTTTCTCAAAATTTAATGCAAGAAGATTTGCCTCAAACCATCTACTCATATGACTACAAATATCATCTAATTTTATTTTTAAATTATTATAGTCCTTGGCTGTGCAGACAATACTTGTGTCATCTGCAAACATTACGACTTCAGAAAATTCTCTTATTTCAAAGGGAAAATTGTTGATATAAATATTAAAAAGTAGAGGTCCCAAGGCTGAACCCTGTGGCACACCGGAGCATAAAGCACTTAGGTGTATTTCCACTCTTCACCAGTTTGGATGAGTTTGTGGGAACACTGGTGGGGGAACCACATGCAAAGCAAATAACTGCAGAGAACACATACAAGAATAAAACACAGCAATGATGTTTACATCAATGGTCATGGAGATTAAATCACCACATGGAAATTGGCCATACTGTTTCCAGATCTGATTTACCATTTGGTCTCAAATAAGATAGGCAACTAAGTGGTGATAAGTACAGCTTTCTGTTTTTTATTCTGCTGAAGCAACAACAAATAGCTTGAAAACCAATCGGACCAGGATTGTATGGCCAAAGTAACACATTGATTGAACAAGATGCTGTGACAATCTGCTGTAATCTAGTGTAAACAATTTTAAGTACAATGGGGTACCCAAAAGAAACCGAACTAATTTTTTTGTGGGCAGAGCTTTTGTAGTACAGCATTTTGCCACTATGAGCCCATAGAGCTAACATTCCTGAGTCGATAAGCCGACTACCGTTGCTTCAGAAGGTAAGGACCAGTTTCGGCAGAGTTTATAGTGACAACTGTTTTGTGTGATAGTCGTTTTTGCAATGGCTGATTTTCGTGAACAGCGTGCGGCATTGAAAATCTGCCTTTTGCTCTGGAAAAGTGGAACAGAAACTCTTGAAATGTTAAAAACGGCGTACAAGGACGATGCTATGGGAAAAATTCAAGTGTTTTCCCGTTTCAAAAATGGTGAAATGTCAATTGATGACAAACCTCGTTCTGGTTGTCCTTCCATGGCCCGAACACATGAAAATGTTGAAAAAAATCGTGAAATCATCAAGGAAGATCGACGACGGACCATTGAAGAAATTATGGAGCTGTCAGGAGTGACTTGGAGCTCAGCGGCCAGATTTGTGGCAGTCGGGTGACTGGTTTTTCCATCATGACAATGCCCCTGCTCACACAGCCCTGTCTGTACGACAGTTCTTGACCAAAAATGGTATGACCCCTGTTCCTCACCCTCCATACTCACCCGACCTTGCCCCGTGCGACTTTTTTTTGGTTCCTCGAATGAAAAGAGACATGAAAGGAAAAAACGACGGAGGCGCTGTCAAGCATCTCAAAAGATGAATTTAGACAATGTTTTGAAAAATGGAATAAAAGACTAGACAAGTGTATTAGTGTAAGTGGAGAGTACTTTGAAGGGGATTGAAGGTTTGTGCTTAAAATTTGAATAAATAAGTTTAAAAAAAATAAGTTCGGTTTCTTTTGGGTACCCCCTCGTATTATAACTTTATTCTCTTATTGTAATCAGCCAATGTACAGTAACTGACTTGTCCTATATAATGTAACAATGATCTATAGAGACGAAATAAATAAATAAACAAGTTAACCCATTTGTTGAGTCATGTGACTGAATGCATCGACTGAAATCAAATGTATGAATGAATAAATAAATACGTTGATATTTAATTAATAGCATTTAGGATCTGCTAGAATGGCACATGTTATGCTGGGTACAGCTTGTGTAACATAATCTTGTAGGGACATATGGTTTTTGTTTTGTGAAGGAACAAGAACAAACTATTTAGGTTTGTATGGGGGTTAACAGTGTCTGTGGTTCCTCTAATACCAAATTTTTCTTGAGCCCATTGTGATAAAAACTGCAGTATTTTTTCAGGAATGTAACCTCTGAATTTGGTGAAGGATTACTGTACATGCATCACTGATAAAGGAAGTTATTTATTTTGAGACCAGGATTTTTATTTTCATTAATTCATATAATATTGATTTTTACTCCATGTTGTAAAATGTAAAACTGTATTTCATGGTGCTTCATTATATCACAAGTTATAAAATATGACCACTTCCATATTAAATATCTTTAATACAGTGAAACTTATCTCTGTTGAAGCCTTACATTTGTTGTAGTTCTTGAAATTGAAGCTGTAGTATATTGTATGCATTTTCCCACATTGCAACTGTGTATCCTCTGTGTAAAATATATTCTTTTATGTGTGATGTGTCAGACTACAATAAGTGTTGCTTAATTTTAGGCAAGTTAGAAGCAGGTTCATAATTTAAACACATTATATATGGAGTCAATCCCATGGTCTGTTCTTCACATAAAAATCACACAAACTATATGTATAATGAACATGCACATTCTGCATCATTGATGATTAACAGAACTTAATTCCTGTGGAATATGAAAAATGGGTGGGACTTCATATGGGGTTGGATGTATGTTGTCAAAAAAAAAAGAATTCACCAGTGCAAAATATTCTATGCACTGGACGGTCAAGGTTCAATTCTAGGCAGTGGAAGATTTTTCTCTTCTGCATTGTGTCCAGACTGACTCTGGGGCCCACCCAGCTCCCTAGCCAATGTGCACAAGGGCCCCTTACCTGGAGTTAAAGCAGCAGGGTTGTGAAGCTGACCACTCACCTCCATCTAGTGTCGAGGCCAAGAATGGTGGAACTATACCTCCACTCCCCCATATGTCTTCATGGCATAGTGCTAAACTAATTAAACACAGGCACAACTTTACCTTTTTATGACTTCTGTGCCAAAGATACAGTGGAACATACAATGTAATAGAATACTTAACTGCCTGATATATATTTCATTTTATGGTCCGATTGCAAACACTGAGGGCTAAATTCAAGTCTTGTTACTATTCAAGTAGTTTCAGAACACCAATATCCTTGAAAGTAGTAGCAATTTCAGTTTCAGCAAATTCTACCATTGTCACAATTATAAGTCTTCTCACAGTATGCCAGCTAGCAGAGAGAGTGTATATGGTTGATGTGCTAAATGTCACAAGGTCACAGTGAAGCAGGATGTACAATAATGACTTAGTAAAATATATTTATTTATTTATTTCGTCTCTATAGATCATTGTTACATGATACAGGTACTGTCAGTTACTGTCCATTGGCTGATTACAATAAGAGACTAAAGTTACAATACTTAAAATTGTTTACAATAGATTACATTTTCGCACGGTGGGTTGTTCCCTTGTGGCTTGTCCCTCTGTGGGCTACGGCCAACTTCTTCTGGAGTCCACAATTTCCCCGTGTCTGATTCTTCATATTCCGCTGGTTTCGGTCCCTACACCTTTTCTTCTTCGGTTCTCCGACCGGCATTACTTCGGCGTCTTGTATGAGTACCTCTCGTAGTTCTGCCGCCTCAGGTTTCATGTCCACTGAGGCCAGCTTTTCTTCTTCTAGACGTGCCTCCATTTCTCGGCAGGCCATCATCACTCTGACCGGTATTACTATGTGATCCTATTGTTTTTGTGCCGCCGCATGTTTTGTGTCCGTTGAGGCTGGCTTTTCTTCTTCTAGACATGCCTCCATCTCTTGGCAGGCCATTGTCTCTTCCTCTTCTAGATGCGCCTCCGTCATTTCTCAGCAGGCCATCGAAAGTACGTCCATTTCTGGTTTGGTTTCGGCAACCAGCTCCTTGTGGCTGGTGCCCATATTTTCTTGCATGGCAGCCGTCCTTACTTCGATGGCTCTCGTTTCTGCTCGGAAGGCTTCTCTTTCTGCAGCCATCTCTTCTCACCAGGCTTTGGAGTCGGCGTCCATTTTCGCCAGCAGGCATTCGATCGTTTCTTCCATCTTCATCGTGGGAGTATAATAGTCAATGCACTCGTAAATTCAATTATTCGTCGAGGTATGTTGAAGTTTGCTTCCCACTTATGACAAATTGTCACGTGTTGGGTGTATAACACGACAAATAACTTCACGCCTTATTTGGTATAGCGAATTTTATTCCACACTCGCTCATACAGTCACACAGTTTACAATCTGACAACTACTGCTATCTGCAGTATTACAATTACTTGACTGAATACTCTTCGCTGGCCAACTCAAAACTCGTAACTAACTTGAATAGTCTTCGCTGCTCCTTATTTAGCCCTGTTACGGACAACACAGAAAACAGTTAAGTAATAGGCACCACTGTTGTCTGATGCCGTGTTTGCCGATAGCCTAGCAACGCTGTCGGGAGTTGTTTACTGCTGAGTAGCAACGGCGGCATCCCGTGTAACATCACCGCTGGGGAGGAAGGGGATGTCCTCCATAGCGCAACACATCACACAATATATATATATATATATTCCCCCCCTCCCCCATCAATAATGTTTACTGCAGACCTTGGTTCATTAGAATGCACAACACATGTCTAAGGTATAAAGAATACTGTGTTAAGATTCTGATGACATGGAAAAACATGTTTTAATAAAATAGAGACAATCTGCTAGTTTGGTTTGTCAGGAATTTCACAGGGGCTCATGTTACACATTCTAGTTTTAAGCATTATTTCCAGCATGTACAATTGGATTTTAGCTCAGTTCTTTAATGAAATATTGTACAATAAAACTTCCTAATGTTTAATTTTTATGCAGTGAAATATTCCTCACTTTAAGGTTTTCTTTCATTTAACATTCAATGTTTTTAATCCAAAGTCAGTAGTCTCATTCTTAAATTTCCTCTGTTTAAAATGTTCCTCAATTTAGTATTCAAATTGACTGATACCCAAAGAAGCCCTAAATGAGGGCTTCATTGTATATTTTGCTACAACAAATCCATAATTAGTATCATGCAGGTTGGAAAAATTATGCCTTTCATTTTTGACAGTGCTATTTTCATACCAGTCATTGACTGCTCTAGGGATTTTTTCCTGAAGTATGTTAACATATCCTTTACATTGAATACGAAGCAAACCAAGATAGCTTAGTCAATAAAATGACTGACTGTGCGCTGAAGGACCCTACGCAAGGGGAGAGACTTTCCCTTTACTGTGCATAATCCAGAATGGTTCTGAAGGCTAATGAACCAATCACTCATTGGGTGCCAGGGCTTTTTCCATGAGGGAGAAGCAGTCAGAATATGAAGGCTGATCACTCACCTACATCTAGTGCCAAGATTTATAAGCATATGATGTTTCACTTCCATTCCCCTATAGGCTTTCATAGCATGGTGCTTAACCACTGGGACATATTGCTGTTTACCTATCAAAGGAATATGTGTTTATTTCTTAGTTCCAGATTACTTTCAGTACCGTATGTTCCAGATATTTTGGAACTCCACTGTCTAATCTTATTCAAAAGGTGTGCCTTCTAGAATGACAGTTAAATTTTAACATACATTTTGTAACTTTTATGTTGGATTTGATTTGTTTCATTCTGGTTCATCACACTAACAATTACAAAGACAAAAATAACACCATCCAGTGTGACTATTTAAGTTTTATCACTTGAAAACTCATCACCATTACATGTTTCGATCCCTACGGATCAACATCCTTGCATGTTTCGATTCCTACGGATCATCCTCAGAGGGCATCAATACTTTTGATTGATGCCCTCTGAGGATGGTCTGTAGGGATCGAAACATGTAAGGCTGATGAGTTTTCAAGTGATAAAACTTAAATAGTCACACTGGACGGTGTTATTTTTGTCTTTGTTTTATGTTGGCTTCTGTAATATTATGATGTGCTGAAAAGTACTGACTAGTTAGGGACAGCATGATGTTGTGTAGTATTCATATGTTGTGCAGAAATATCCTGGTTCATGAGAAATCATAATAAACTTTAGGAATTGGCACCAACTTTAATTTCATTTCATTTTCAGGTCTTGCGAGATCTGGGATTCATGATTCCAGACCTTCTTCATTTGTGTTTTCCACTGTATGAATTAAGACACAGCCGCAAAGAGAGATGTAGACCTCATTTCACTGAATTCTTTGGCCTTGTGATTTTAGTGTCTTCAGGATTCTTGGTTTCTTCAGTGCTGTAGTTCATTCAAGTTTTAGTGTTTAACATTTCCTCATTTTGAGTCTATGTTGAATATTATGAGCTTCTTTGGAGTTACCTACTATAGGGAGTTCAAAAAGTCACGCACATCACACTAAGCAATTATATTTTTCTGGTTTAATGCACAAAATACAAGACATACAGCACTTTCTATTAATGTTTATAACCTTACATCTTAGAAATGCAAACTCAAATCATGTCTTTACAAAATATGCTCGAAATGGCTCCCCTGTTCAGCAATGCATGCACATTCTCTTTTTACCATGTTTGAGGCCACTTTGTGGAGCACCTGTAAACTGATGCTGTTAGTCGCCATCATAATGTTCCTCTTGAGATCATCCAGTATATGTGGATTGTTTTTATAGACAGTTCCTTTGAGGTACCCTCAAAGGAAAAAATCTGCGGGTGACAAATCGGGTGAACACAGGGGCCACAATCCTTTTGAAATGAAATGGTCACTGAAAAAACTCATGCAAGAACTGCATGGTTTCATTAGATGTGTGACATGTGGCCCCGTCTTGCTGCAACCAACACTCACGTTCATCAACTTCAAGAAGCCCAATAAACTGTGTAATGATGTCTTGGTGCACTGGACTGTTCACTGTTGTTTCAAAGAAAATTGTGCCCACAACTCGACGTGATACAGCACACCACACTCCAATTTTCTGACAGTGCAAGGGCTTTTCATGTAACACATGTGGATGTTCAGATAACCAAATCCTATTGTTTTGACTGTTCATGCAGGCACTAAGGTGAAACCATGCTTCGTCAGTGAAGAAAACCCAATCAAACTCTTCAATTCCATGAGAACTCATTCTTGGGAAAACTACTTGATTGTCACACAATAAACAAAGCTATACTGCAGACGTCATATGACCAATACATGACAGAGAGCATTTCTACTTGTTAGTACTCCTACAGTACCATCTAGTGGCAGGAGATATAATTATATTAACTGCAATACAATTTATAACAACTTTTTAGTTTGATGTGTGCAACTTTTTGATCTCCCTGTAGTTAACCACAAGTAGTATTATGAATATTTTGTAATCATAAATTTATCGATAACATTTGTAATTGATGTGTCTGCCTTAACTAGTTTATAATGTGAATTTCCTAAAAGGTAATAATTTTTTAAAATTGTAAACTATTTGTGTACAGAAACTGGCATGAGAGCCTAATATGAATGCTTGAAGCTGTTTAATGGTCTCTGTGTTAAGTGTAGCATTAACAACTATTACTTTTACTTATGTAATAATTTCAGATTTTTTAGTTTGTTATGTTCAGAATTAAGCCGGTAAGAACATCTCATGCACAGTTCTCCATAGTCATATTTGTCTCTGTCCCATTAACTGCAAGGTTAAATACAGTTTATCTTAAAGGGACTTGATTTCAAAAGAAATGTGATGTTCTTAATAGTAGATATTTTTACACAATTAGTAGTGAAGTCCAGCTGGGTCCACTCAGCATGGCAGCTACTGATTGGCCTATTGTACCTGCCCCAATTAATTATGATGATGGAGAATTTGGTGGAATGAAGATTGGCAGTGGAAACCGAAGTACCCAGAGAAAACCCGCCTCAGTGCCACTTTGCCCACCACAAATCCCACTTGGTGGCCTTGCACAATTAATATCTCCAGTCTTCTTTCCTGCAACTCAGAAAGTGGTTTGGAATTATTGACACTTACATCAGACACCCAAATTTATTATCAGCATTTTGTGTTATGTTGCTGAACCATAGTTTTAGAAGGTAGAAAATAGATTCTTATCATGAAAAGGACTGTTTTATGGATATTGTATTTATAAAATATGGATGAAAGACGAATAGTTTGGGTGAAATTATTACAGCAGCAAGAATGGTATTAATCCATGTATAGTGAACAAGGAAAGTAACATGTAAGTTTGTTGGTACATTTCTGAAATTACTTATCTTTCTGAATATTATGACAGCTTGATGCTGTAGGTTGGTCCCAAAATAACACAAATACCAAATTATGTGAAATATTGTGCTGCACCAGGCTATATAGTTGATTGTTATATAAATATAAGCCTGACAGTTTCTGGCCCTTTTAATCCTGTCAGAAATAAAGGAAAGTTGTATATTATGTCATCCTAAAGCTATCATTTACATAATTTTAAGTAATATCATGGAACCTATGTTTTTCATGCACTGAGTTGTTTCATGGCTATACTCCTAATGCTACAGTAGACAGATATGTAATTCACAGTGGACCTGTGTGTGAAATTTATGATAGCGAGCTTCTATTGTGGAGATTTGGGATAAATAGGCTTAAAGAGGGAGCAATGTATGCGTGTAAACCATTGCTAAGCAATGGCCCATAAACAGCAACAGAGGAACGGTGTTTTCTGTGAGGTCCGTACTGAGATGTTATAAGCACGACAGTTAGTGAGGGGTCAGTCAGTCAGTGGAGTGAGCTGAGTTTGTTGGTTGGTAAGTGAGTGAGTTAGAGGACTGCTGGGTTTCACTCATGAGCTGTTGCTGTGAGATTCTGGTAGCTGAGGCTGATGATAGTTTGGGAAATCAGAGTAAGGGGAAGGTCTGCCATTGGAATCCACTACCAGTCAATGGCTAGTGAAGGCGTGACTGTGGATGATAGCCACGATGAAGGCCCGCCAAGAAGCAAAAGAGGCCTGTCTATGGCAGATGGAGACCAGGATTGAGGCTGGCAAGGATGAAGTTGGTGCTGAAATTAAGACTGGCCTGGGAGAGGTGGAGGTCTCTTCTAGACCTTCGGTCCTATATGACCGCATCCCTTACACTGTGTGGAATGGCATGGTGGGTCATCTGTCTGTGGACAGCAGCCAACTTCTTCCTGGACCTACCATCTCCCTGGGTCCGTTTCTTCAGCTGTCAGCGGCACCCTACAGCTAGATGCCAGTCCCAATGTCGATCATCCAATGCGCTAATAGTTTCCACTGCAGCCTCTTCATTAGGGATCTCCTGCCTCTCCACTGCAGACTGTGTTTCTTCTGGATTTGCCTCCAAATCCGTGATCTCCACTTCTTCCAGGCTAGTATTAATTTTTGTTTCGATTTGTTCATGCCTGGCCTCTATACTGGCCTCCATTTTTCTAGACAGGCCTTCATCACTTCTCAGTGGCCCTTCATCATGGCTGTCATCTGTTCCAAGCTGGCTATCACATGGCAAAGTTGCTCCATGATTATCTGTCACATGATGCACAATCCAACGATGCAACAATCTGAGTCCAATAATTTGGTCAATCCAATCCCACTTCTGCCACCACTTCTCACATATATAAAGTGACTGTAGGCGGGGTTTGGATTGGTAATCAGATTTATCGAAATCTTACAGATCTGTGACTACAAATAATTATAACCCTTTCACTAATTCACACACTTTACAGTTCACTAGAGCACAAACTTATGTCTTCTCAGCCTGCTGTGTCTTCACCAGTCTTCTGGTAACTGCTTCAAGCTGTGAACATTCCTCTTACTCTGGGTCCCCAAACTATCTGCACCTCAGCTACCAGCTTCTCACAACAACTGAACCTCAGAAGTTCTCTAACGCAGTCACCCACCAACCAAGTCAACTCAAATATCTGACCCCTCACTAACTATCTTGTTTACAATATCTCAAGCGGCCTCCGTAGTCTAGAGGTAACATTCCCAACTCATGACTCGTAGTACGTGGGTTCAAATACCCGGCGGAGGTCGTCGAATTTTTAAGGGTGGAAAAATTCAGGGAACAAGTCCTCCGGGAGGGACTTTAAGCCGTGGGTCCCGTGTCGTAGCTTTACGGCACGTAAAAGAACCTCATACCTCCAAAGGAGGTCACTGAGCCAAAATTGCAGACGTTTGCCGCCCAACAGCAGTCACTAATACCTCCAGTAGATGGGGGAAGCATTATAGATACTTCTCAGCCAGTAGAGCTGGTCTCGCTGGCTGGGCAGGACTGATGGTAAGCACCAATACCGGTAGGATATAGAGGCTAGTAGAAATCATAGAGGGAAGCACAATGGACCACTACAGGTCTCAGTGCATGGGGAAATCCACCCTCTCTAATAACTAACTAACTACAATATCTCAGCACTGACCACACAGAAACCACCATTCCCCTGTTGCTGTTTACAGCCTATTACCTGTTAATGGCCGTTATCTAGTTGCTTGTTTCATGGTCATTGTCTAGCAATGGGTCTACATGCCACAGTTAATTTACAGGCAAAATGAAGTATGAAGTGAGATCAAAATTGTTATTGTTTTCCAGTGATATTATAAAGTGTTCTGTAGATATCACATAAGCTTTCATTGATTTTCTTAATAATGCAGTCATACAACATCCTTAAAACATCCACATTTTGATACCTTAAGAAAATATAGATCAACCATGCTAAATGAAATACATTTTTAGCAGTCAGAAACATGTGTTTAAACGTAATAACTGAAGTGGCATTCAGCAGTATGAAGTTTTCAGGTTGCAATTTAGCTGTTCATAATTTGATACTGTGTGGTTTATAATAGTTACAAGTGTTATCCTTCATTAGAAATTTTCATAGTAAAAAAAGTAAAACTATCCCTGTAACAGGCTGTGGAGCCCCATAGGGTTGTGAGACGTTGAGGCTGCCACGTTTCCTAGACAGTCAGCACACAGATGGCAGTGATGTTGTCAGCCTTACACAGCAGCCGCTCGTTACTCCCAGGAAGATTTCTGTTACAGGCTGAGTCCACCCCAGGGCCATAATGCTGCTGGAAGGATTAGGTCAATTGAAAACTCCATTTACCTCATTGGGACTTGAACCTGGGCCCTTTCAGCTTCTAGCATAGTGCCTCAGCTAACTATATTACCATGTGCGCCCAAATATCACAGTATTTATTGTAAATGTTTAGAAACTGATATTATGCCTTGTCATTTTATTGCAGAAAATATGTATTGAATGTTTATCAGACCATTCATTTTCTTTTGGTCAGCAATAGAAAAACACTGTTGAGTAATGAAGTGGTTTAATTCATGTGTTCCAGCTTCTAACACTCTGTAAGCACAATCTAGAAGTTCAGCATTGATAATACGAATCCTGCCATTGGAAACTATCCAAAATTAGTTCAGTTTAACAAATAGCATTGTAATGAAGGTTCATTACCTTATCCTGGTTACTAAAGAAACATTTGGT